CTAACCAATTTTTTTCGATGATTGTTCATTGGTAATGAAGCAATCATCAATTGTGAAATTTCAACCAATTCCCAACACTTATGTTTATACAAGACCAGAACAAAACTTTTTAAGGGTGGTCCTAAGATGCAGCCAAATGAGTGAGTGAGTTTAGTTTTACGCCGCACTCAGCAATATTCCAGCTATATGGCGGCGGTCTGTAAATAATTGAGTCTGGATCAGACAATCCAGTGATCAACAGCATGAGCATCTATCTGCACAATTGGGAAACGATGACATGTGTCAACCAAGTCAGCAAGTCGGACCACCCGATCCCGTTAGTCGCCTCTTACGACAAGCATGCACCCAAATGATCAGGCTTGGCTACCAAGATGCCTGTGTGTGTTTGTACCCCAATAGTGTGGGTGACTGCTCCCTATGTCAATCACTGGTTTTGTCTGGTGATGACTGAGAGTAGTTGTAAGCAGTAGGTATAACACTGACTGGTGCATGCTTGTCAGAAGAGTGAGGCAAATCCACTTCATTTCCACATAACGATTCACAATGAGTCAGACATATCAGTAATAGACTGAAATTCTATCAATGTTCATTTTCACAAAGATATTGGAAGTTGTTGTGCTTTTCAAAATGTTGAAAGCTGTATAACAAAGAAGTCTTGTGTTCGAGCAGGCAGAAATGCTGGCAAACTACCAATATTCTAATCTCCGCTGTAACATAGGCCCTTCATTAATTCATTAAAGGCATGTAATAGTAAAGAGTGTACGTCTTTAACACACGGCATTGATTGCATCTGACAGTTTGGTATCTGTGGAGTTGATTACTTCAGTCTGGGGAGAATGTTTTAGTACTGGCACAACACGCTGTGGGATCCTTCAGCATATATCACACTTCCATACAAGAATTCTTTACATATCGCCACAGCCTGACCGGACCGGGCAGATTTCTGTTTCCCATCAGTGAAATATGCAATGGCACCCAAATATAACACCATGTATTTCATTCTACTGGTCCCTGATGAAGTGTACAGGACTTGGTCCCATTGATCAGCAAGTTTTGCTATTCTTGTTCATGCAAGAACATTTTTAAGCCAATTGGGAAAAACTATTGTTTGGTTTTATAATCCAAGTTTTAGCATTTTTTCTTAAAATTCCAAGGTATAATGTCTTTCAGTCAAAGCAATAATGCAGATTTAGGCATTAAAGGCATTGTCTTCTTTATTGGTCCACATGTCAGCTCATAAACCTATGTTACTGGAATTATTGAAGTTTTTAATTCAGATCTGGAAATATTTACTGACATTGGCTACAGACTGTGAGCCACATATTGGCCTCTGCAAAATTCCCATCTGAAAATATGTACTGGCACTGGTTACAGACTGTGAGCCACATATCAGCCTCTGTATAATTCCAATCTAGAAATATTTAGTGACATTGGTTAAAGACTGTGAGCAGCACATTGGCCTCTACATAATTCCAATCTGGAAATATCTACTGACTTTGGTTACAGACTGTGAGTGGAATATCAGCCTGTGCATGTTCTTATGATCAATCATTATCACGCTACAGCCTTGGGCATCCTGAACAAAATTGCAATTGTCATACGAGAATAGATTGGGTTGTCTGATTCCGTAGACTGGGACATAACTCATAATATCAATCACTAGTTTGTCTGGTCCATGTGCAATTATTCAGAGGCCTCATCATATTGCTGAGTGTGACATTAAAACACACAATCAAGCATGATTCAAGATTATAGATTTTGAAACCAATAATCAAATTCTAATTGTAATCCTTTTATCATGTTCATATAGAACATAACTTCACACGAACTGTATGATCTAAGCACATTTCAGTTCCAGTTCAGTTACTGAAGGCAAACTTGAGTCTTTAGCTGGCACTCAAAGATTCCAAAACTGGATGAACTTTCTGAGTTGGCTTGGGTTGGCACTCAGCAATATTCCAGCTATATGGCGGCGGTCTGTAAATAATCAAGTCTTGACCAGACAATCCAGTGAAAATAACATGTGCATTGATCTATGCAATTGTGATGACATGTGTCAACCAAGTCAGAGAGTCTGACCACCTGATCCTCTTACTGAACACCAATTCTAACCCAGATCTTGACAGATCTTCTACTGTGGGACAGTGGGAAAGGAAAAAGACCAAAGGCCATATCTGACGTTTCTACTTCGGTAATTTTGAGACAGACTTCTCCTCCACACATCCTTTTTTTTGCTGGTGTGCTTTGTGATGTTGCAGACTGCTATGAGCACAGCGCCGAGACAACTGACAATCATGATTATGTGACAGTCCTGGACAACAGCTAGCATCACATTCCAGTGCTCCGTCAACAGAACCCCAAGGGCACTGACCCACCTGAACCCTCTAATTATGATGATGACCCCTATCATCGAAGCATGATGGTCAATAACAGATGGAGGGTCAGGTCAACGCGTTTCTCTAATGACCACTTATTATTAATGCATAGATTTACTATTCAGGATGTGAACAATCATAAATGGAGCTAATTTTCCAGACCATTAATCTTGCTGAGAAGCTGTTTGTTTTGCCTGTTTGTGTAATGCTGCACTCAGAAATATTCCATCAATATGATGGCTGTTCGTAAATAACCAAATGCAGATCAAACAATCTTGAGATCAATATTATATGCAATCATTGACAGACAGGGTACGATCAAAAACATCAAAAGCCTCAGCACTCATTTTGTCTTATCCACAAATTTGATTTTTTATGTCAATAGCAAGTGAAAAAATGGATGCATTCTGGGATTGGAAAAACAGTGGGTGATAGCATAAGCAGCAATCCATACCACTAAGAGTGAGTGAGTTGGGTTTTAAGACGCGTTTAGCAATATTCCAGCAATATCACGACAGGGACACCAGAAATGGGCTTCACACATTGTACCCATGTGGGGACTCAAACCTGGGTCTTCGGCGTGATGAGCGAACGCTTTAACCCCAGGCTACCCCACCGCCCCATACCACTAAGACATGACACATCAGACAGGTTACATGTTGCAACCACCATATTTTCTATGGTCAATAAGCTTCAGTCTGGGATAGAACAAGCAGCCGCACATACACATACACACGCATGCACGTCGTCATATGAGCGAAATATTCTCAAGCACGACGTTAAACCCAATTTCACCTCACCTCACCTCTATGGTCAATATGGCTGCATAATCAAGCATGTAGAACTGTAAACCCATACCATCCATATCTTGAGTAACAACTGAATTATGATTCATTTTTTTTCTTTTTTGTTGTTGTTTCATCCCACACTCAGCAATATTGGAGCTATATTTATTTATTCATTTATCATTCATTCATTTTCATTTATTCAAGTTTTCATTTCATGTATGATTACATAATATTAATCATAATAAGAAGAATATGTAATGTCTACAGGATTTTATTTTTTTTAAATTAAATAAATAAATAAACAAATAAATAATAAAATATTGGAGCTATATCATTATATGACAGGGGTCAATATATAATCAAGTCTGGGCCAGACAATCCAGTGACTGCACAATTGGGGTACGATGACATACATAAACAAAGGCACACTCATCATCATTATTAGGATTATTATTAATCCAGTTGACTGAACATAAATGATATGACACAAACCCTGCCTGTGTTTCAGTTCCTTACACAAAGTAATCATGGTTATTTTATTCAGTTACAACTAACTTGGTTTAATAACCAAGATGGTATAATCATATCCAAATACAATCAACATTTTGCAATTCTGATGTCAGCATACATATATATTATAGTTTTTTTAAAAGGATACGAAGAACCAAAAATTAAGACAATTCTTAATGCTATAGTTCCCATTTCCAGTCTAGGTCAAGTCAAACAAACGCTTCATGTGTATATCAGTAGCCGCAGTATCTATATGAACAAAACTGCACTTGATTAACTGTTTAAGGATGAACAACACAATAGAACCATCATTAGCAGATAACCATGAATTGATGTTTCAAGACTTCAAATCAACTTGTTGAGATTGATACATTGCCCGAGGATTATTTTAGGATTCTAAATGAAGGATTTAACATTGTATTTTAAGACTGTGCTCAAAACAATAATACAAAACATTAAAATCTCTCCCTCTTTCTTGGTCCTGATATACAGATTACTTCTGCTATGTCATAAAATTAAGTTTAAGTTGTGGTTAAATCAAGTGGAAAAATAATAATTCCAATTTGGAACTTTTTATGACATTTACTGCAGTCTTGGGGCTGACTATCCACCAGAAATATTAATATCGCATGCCAAGATAAATCCCTGGTTTCCTAAGCCAAGCTTCCTTTTATTATTCTTTACATAGCTTCAGATTGCATATTAGCATTATCAGCATACTACCCATCTGCAACAGTTGTTGAAGCAAACATATCAGTTGCATGTGGCATTTGTCCATCACTGGCTCTACTCTCACTACCTCAAATGGAAGTAATTATTGGAAGTTTTCTAATCAAAATCTCAGGTAATCATCATGGTAATAAGCAACATTTTTTGTGTGTTCACGATTTAAGTTCTCATTTAAAATCAAGGGTATACTAATTTGGGATCAAATAGTAAAACGATTTCAGAATAACATAATAAAAGAATGGCAAGCACACCTCCCATCGGAATTCCATATTGTCCCATCATAGATATGAGTTGAGTGGGCAATAACAAGAGTCAGTTTGACCACTGCACAAACTGAAATGAGTCATCGCCACTGAACATGGCTCCTTCAACTTGCTTGATTTATCCAGACCAACAAAGCCATACACATTTTATCTCCAAAATGGAAACAAATAAAAACGTAAACAAAGAACATCGTGGAAAGGGGCAACACCCCTTTCTCATTAAAAACCAAACATTAGGAGGGGTATCACTATGAGATGAACGTGATCTTCCTGATAGAACTCGCATATCTTAATGAAACAGGGCATGACACTATTGCAGACGTTTTCATCCTTACCTGATGTAACGCTTCCTGATTCAAACCTGAAGCTCTGAATAGTTCTAAAGCTTTGATTCCACTTATTTTCCCAGAAACATCAGTATCACAGGTTTGAAATAATTCTCCATAAAATCGCTGCTCTTGATCACTGAGCTTCAGGCCCTCCATCTTACATCTCTTGCACGTCTTATGTCAACATACGAATGATTTTATGTATTCTGCAACTAATCCTCCAGAAAGACAGTTTTTGCATAGTTCTGATAGTCCAAATATGACATTCACATTAACACGATGGATAACTCGGGAAATCTGTCACAGTCGACTCCATCTTTAATTGATTTCTCGGTCAATGCCACACGCAATGTCCTCACTAAAACATCTCAGATTTAGTCAAACTGTCATCATTCATAAAAGCATTATTCAGCGTGTATAATTATGATATATTTTCATGATAAATAGGTTTTTATCGAAAACATATTCAAAACATAATATCATCGAATACAAGTATCTGCCATTTTGGAGTAAAAAATATAGACAGAGTACATCGCGTTTCACATGGATTAATTTGGGTTAATTTTGGATAATTATTTCAATTAATATATACTGAAAACATAATACATTCCAAAAGATGCTAGCGATTTGTGTATAATGGTGATTCGCAATTGTTCTAGAAAAAGCTTTCCGTGAAATAGCTTTCTCCACCGGCAAATTATACAAACTACTTTCCTTCAACTGATTTCATTTATATTCAGCATACGCGACAGCAGGTGCGCATTCATGCAAATTCGCTTCAAACTAATCATTCTGTTGCGTTTTACTGAAGTTTTTATGAGAAAGAACAACTCTCGCTTTGTTCAGGAACAACTGTATGTGTAAAACAGAATTTTTTAGGTTGTGGGTGTGGGTGAAACATATCAGGTACGGTGAATTCGATGACACCGATAACTCGACGACAAAATTAAAGTCAACTCTCAGACATACCGACAATTCGTAGATACCGTTCTTAGTATAATGTACTGGAATCATAATAAAACATATTATAAATATTAGTATTATATACACGCGCGTGCACGCACGCACACACACGCGCGCATATTCTCAGAGGAATGTTGTCGTGTATTTCATCTTCATCAACGATCAACAACAGGATATTTTTTGTAGTTGTTTTTTTAAAGGTCTCAGAAAGTGTGTTCATGAAATCATATGAATAGTACCTAACTGTCGGACACAATTTCATTAGCACCAAGTTCCATATATGTTTCTGAGTGGTTTCTTTTGCAGGTTCTTTTGTGAATGGATCGTTTAATAAAAATTGCCGTAAGTATAAAGATTTTCCTTTACATGATCCAACTAGTATAAACTGATAATCTGGTAAGTATACGAAAACTGAGGACATAAAGATCATTTGTTTAAGTTGTGTGTGGAGTGGAGGTTTAGCCTAGTGGTTAAAGTGTTGGCTCGTCACGCCGAAGACCCAGGTTCTATCCCCCACATGGGTACGATGTGTGAAGCCCATTTCTGGTGTCCCCCGCCGTGATATTGCTGGAATATTGCTAAAAGCGGCATAAAACTCAACTCACTTACTCACTCTTTTTGTTTTGATAGGATTTGCACGATCTTTATTTAATAGTACAGTAATTAATCAATCAATAATGGAATAACTTCTTCGAGTAGCATTTAGAAGTTGGCGTGATGAACAGCGGGGGATCCATGGATATAAAACATCATTATTAATAGTAAATAAGTTGTATATCCATATAACTTCCCCCAGTGGAATTAACGACCAACCAATTAATAATTGGCGTCATGCTTGATCTCTTGGCTGTGTTGTCATACTGACGTTTATCAGTAAACAATAGCCATGGCTGCAGTCAGTCTCAGCAACTCAATATTTCAGCTGATATTTGGCAATACTTTAAGTTTTTTAAATTGGAGTACATTTAGATCTTTTTAACAAATTCTGACAAGTTTCAGTCTAATTGTATCTCTGTCGCTGGTCTTAAGATGATCAGTATGCGCTCTGAGGGTGTGGGTTCGAATCCCGGTTGCGACTCAACCCAACAAAACTACTAGAATCTGTACTTTACTCATACTAAGAACGTGTAATCCCAAATATAACATGTGTAACAGAATGTGTTCGCTTGTCTACATTTATTACGAACATGTATGCTTCTTTCGTACCGACGGATACTGTTTTATTTTAACAGGCCACTTGCAATATATTTTAGCCGAAATGCATATAACGAACTACGGTCCTAACGAACTATCATAAGAGGCCACTTCGAAGTTCTTGATGGAGGAACAAAAATTATCTCTGAAACGTCGTATAAAGAATAAAACAAGTTGTTATCCATAAAAATGTGTCATGTATTCATGGTCCCCTGGAGTTGGTTATAACTGTAGTTACTGTAGTAATATTTCCACGGTAATATGTGCTGATGATAGTGTGGCGTTGACCAGAATGGAACGATTTATACTGTTTCCCATTGAACTGCTTTGTAATGTGACATTTACAGGGAGACTCTTTGCGTAATCTGAATTCCACAAATTTCAACCATTATAAAGATGGTGCAATTATGTGTTAAAACTCAAAATACGCCGTTTTAAGCAATATTCCGAAAATAACCGGGCGGTGGACACTCGCTAGATCTATAGGCTTCACACGTTGAATCCATGTGGGTAATCAAGTCTTATGCGTACCTCTTTGAGCCACAATCTGCGTTCTGACAAGCTAAAATATAATCGAACATTTCAATCAATTTTTAAATGAGTCATTCAATCACATTGCTCACTGCTTGAAAATGTCATTGATTTATGTGACATTCTCAGCAAACATAATGGCAATTGGCATCAAATACTCTTTATTTTCTTCAATTTATAAGAAATGCACGAATATAAGGGAAATATATGGTAAAAAGGGAACATAAGCCATAAAACCCTCCGCATTGCATCCCAGTTTGGGATCACTAGCAAAAGAAGGCGTTTGATTCGTGAAAATGGACGGTCTTAGCACATGCACATTTGTAGAGCCAATGCTTAATTTCAGTCAGTTTGTAAAATAACTGAAAGGTACTCTCACTTAAAATAAAAAATTAACTGATTTGAATTAACACTTTTACTGATTCTAGCAGTGAGAGGGTTGTGTTGGTTTCACGCCGCTTTGATAAGGGTAGCTTCCCATAAGACAGACCTCCCAAAAGACAGACCGCTTAAAACAACACATTTTATGGTTGGTTGCATAAGGCTTAATTAAGCTGTACCCTGGATAATAATGGTATGTGCCCAGATAAAAAAGACAACATTAGGTATTAACTATAGTTTTATTAATTGATGTAATGAATTATGATTTTTAAATTAAGACATATTGCATCAACATATATATATTGTACATCAACACATTTTTCATATTTACTTGTGAATATTATCAAAAACAATAATTTATGTACATGTACCTATCAAGTATATGAGACCAGGCACCATACTATTTTACATCACATGTTTGTCAGTTCACAGATAACACTTATTAGAAAGTCACTTGAACATCATCAGTAGGGAATTTGGTTACAGTGAGAGTGGAATCTTTGTGATTTTTGCGACAGAAACTGTGTTGTTAGTGACTCCGGGTCAGCTCAATAATTACGTAGGGGTGAACAGCATGGCTCAACTAATTAGCTAATTACCATATACCGAGGTCTGTCTTTTGGGAGTGAACCTTGATAAGTATTTCAGATATATGAGGGTGTCTGTTCGCAGTTAGTTCGCAGTCCCTGAACCACAAGCCCTCAAAGCCCTAAATAAAGCAAGTCTAGAATTCCTCAGGTTCAGGAATCTCTGGTCTCCCTAGGGCTCCTTTTCAATTTAAAAGGGCTTGTTTGTTACTATCAAAATTATATATATTCAGAGACTAAGCCTTAGTCTAGTTCACAGTCAACATGCGAGCGAAGCATATTGCAAGACTGGTAATTTCTCACTCTGTTTGCGCAACACTATTTGCGCTACAGTTTGCCTGTGGTCAGTTTTTGATGTGGGAAAGTTAAAAATGCTGCAGGTCTCAAACGATCACTGATCACTGGTGAAACCTGTTAGTACGAGTAAGGTGAAGACAAACTTAAAACATAATCAGCACGGATCGGGATAAAAAATGAATCATATGTTACAAGCCTACAATTCTTTAACACATCTGCTGTGTGATGCACAAAATAATGCAGTTAACAAGCGTTTAGACCTTTAACATCAAGGATTAAATGAAACCAGATTTCCACAGATGAATTAAGCAAACATTATAATGTTGTGTTTAAGTTTGCAAATACATATTTTTTGGACAATTATAGTATGGAACCCAGCTGAATAGTTTTGACAAATATCTGAAATTCAGTCTTGAAATAATATTTGTACAAAAGTTATGTTCTAGTTTCGCATGTGGGGTTTGAGATTTTCAACCAAGGTAGTAGAAAACAAACGTGAATTTATTCATACACACTATGCTTGCATGTACACAATTCATCTTGTAAACATGGACAATGGAAATCTAATGCTAAATTTATACACATTTTGAATATACTTGTAACGGAATTGAAATATCTGATTTGCCTGAATAATTACTGGAGGTATGGTGAAAATCTCAAAATGGTATCTGCTATCATACCCGCTTAACAACAGACGTACACTGGTCAACCAACAGATGACTTGTAAAAGGAAAGCCGGTTATAACCAGTTGTGAGGGATATAACATATTCCACAAAGACAGAGTCGTACAATTTGGCGCGAGTTGCCTCATGTGTCACACAGAACATATATTCAACGAACTGTTTACATAGATATTAGTCAAAATGACAGACAAGGATGCAGGTATGTTGATATTTTTACATATTAATGGACTGTATTACATGACCTATGTTTACAAAGGTACTTACCTCTCGAAACTGAAAAGCCGGGCGCCTATTTTGCTTATTTCGTCCTTTCTTTCGTATCATGGCGGGTTTATTGTTTATCATTTCATTTTATCAGGTTGCTTCCTCTTTCCACCGGGTTGTTTTCTGCACGTGTTATTATTGAAATTGAACCTCGTCATCATAACTGTGTTATATTTCGTATATTGGCGAATTCCCACGATTGCGTGCCAGATTCATTTGTGTCGCAGAACACGTCAAAAAGGGGAAAATGCCGCAAGACACCCACTTGTGGCCATACATGAAACTATGGGCAGAAATGTCGTTATTTATCAACAAGGTGTAGGTGATGGCGTTTGGTTGTGCTAAATCGAAAATAGTTTCGTAAGAGATTGTTTTGGTCATATTTACTGCTCCATCCTGTTCATAGAATTTGCTTACAATCAA